TCATATTTTTATGAGTTTTTTGCAGCTATGCAATGCGGAAAACGCATATTGAAGAAAGGTTGTTTGCATGTGTGTGTGTGTGTGTGTGTCTGTGTGTGTGTGTGTCTGTGTGTGCGCTGCGCGTCTGTGCCGATTTTTCATCTCGAGACCTATAAGATCTACAGGGCTGGAATTTTGGGGGCTTAATCTGCATGCACGTACGGGTTCCCCGTCTCCAAAACAGACGGTCTTACCCGCATGGTGCCCACGTGGCTGATATGCCAAACTTTTCTGCGGATAAGCTGCTAACTCGCGAATCAGGAAAGCTAGAAAGCTGAAATTTCAAGGGGTGTTCTCCCTCCACGTAAATCTAAATGAGCTCAAACCCATCCCCCGGGTAAGCGTGACACTCTCGCTTACGGGCCCCCCAAAATTTTCTTCTGGTAAGTAGCTAACTCGGGAGTCTGAGAAGCTAGAAGGCTGAAATCTTAAAGGGATGTTCCTCGTCCAAGTGAGTATTAGTGGGCTCAAACCCTTCCGGCGGGTAAGCATGGTACCTACGTACAGGCCCGTGAAATATTTTTCGGGTAAGTTGCTAACTCGGGAATCTGGGAAGCTAGAAGAGCGGAATTGCGTTTTATGCGTTGTTAGCGGTGTAACAGCAGCAAAAAACATATATTGTCACGTCTCTGCCTGCGCGTGTGTGTGTTTGGGTATGTGTGTGTTTTTTGCCCCGCACTTTCAACTTGGGATTTACATAAGCCAGGAAACTGAAATTTTATAAGAATGCTGTTTGTCCAACTGCGATTCGCGAATTTAAATTCAGCCTTCAGGTACACCTGGATACCACGTGCTGTCTCGTGAAAGTTTTGGTGAGAAAAATTACTGCCTTAGGAACCACGGAAGCCAAGAAGCTGAGGTTTTAGGGGGGTGTTCCCTGCCCGCGTGTATGCAAATTCAAATTCAGCTTTTACGTACGCCTAGGTCTCAGTTGCGGCCCGATGGTAGTTCTTTTGGGAAAAATTAACTCGGAAACTAGAAGAGCTGGAAGGCTGAGATTTCGGGGTGATGTTTTCTACCTGTGCAGGAAACTCACAGACTTAATTCAGCTCCCAGTGTATGCTTAGGCCCCACGTTTCTTAGGTTCGTGGAAGTTTTGGTGCGAAATGCACTAACTTGGAAGCTTGAAAACTAGAAAGCTGAAATTTTGGAATGAAGTGCCCGTCCGTTTGCGATTCAAAAGTTTTAAATTCAGCTTTCACGTACATTTCACGCAATGCTGAAGTTTTTAATAGGAAATTCCTCTACATACGAACCAGGCAATATATCCATTGTTTTTTCACAATAAATTGTGGAACAGTGAAAATTCTTGACAGCAAACGTCCGCTAAACGGAACTGCGTAAAACACTTGACCGCACCGGCTATTCTAGTGCACACCGCTGTTTATAGTGTTGTGTCGCACTTTTATTTTTGTGCATTTTGC